GGAAGCAATGAAATCAAATATTGCAGAGTAAGTGTAACAGATGTTGGAAATTTGTGAGGATAGGATATGCTCTTATTATACAGGTACTACAGATGCTAAATTTAAAAAATTCTAACCATCTCCAGCTTCTGCTTAATTATGTATTACTTATTAAACAAATTGTAAAGATTTTGAAAATAATATTCATTCTGTAAACTAACTAATGAAACATGTTAAAGCTCCTAACACATTTCCAACAGATCGATAATTTTCAGATTATAATCTCACTTTTAAAATATCTAGTATAAATTGTAACATCATGTACATCAATTTAATGGGCAGAACTTAATGCACGCAGTTCCATTAAATACATATGGTGAAACTATTTGTGCAAATACCGCATTAAAAATAGATAGAAAAGAACCTGGTTTTATAGTCAGTTTTTGCAGAGATTTTTCTCATCTGAAGATTGTGATAAATTTATTATAAACCATAAAATTGAGAAGATAGAAACCGAACTTTTACTACCAATAGAGCTGCCAAAGGAATATGCTCATTATAAAAATCCCAATCTTATTGCGATGCTGCTAATACAACTGAAAAATCAGTAATATGCTTTTGAATTATATTACCGCTGCTTGCAGGTATAAATAATGTAGAGATGTAACATTAACTACAAATGAAGCATGCAAAACTTGGTTTGCTGGATGTATTTAGTGGAAACTCTGCTTATAGAAAAGCGTTGGAAGTACATGCTTATATATTATAATTGTAAAGATATTACTTAAAGTTTGCTAAGCCTTTTCTGAATACTGTGTTCTAACAAATTCAATCTACAAAGTGATTACACAATGAGATAACTACGATAATGTTTTTCATGCACATTTGGTATTAATGATACTTAATGTGGATGGTTCCAGAAGGTAAATGCAAAGATTAAAGAGCATTCAGTGATATAAATGATGCTAACCTATCAGCATGTACTAGTTGGGGTTCCACTTGTGTTTCAGAAGGAACCAAATGTATTGATAAAGGAACTTGTTTTTCATATCTAATCTTTTCATGTTGTGATAATGAAGTACTGATGAATGTTGTTAATGGACTAGAAAGTATTGTATTCTGAGAGAATTTCAAAATAAAGCTGCTTCTTCTGATATTGAATGTTTAGCATAAGTTGTTAAGAGTGGACTCTGTAAACTGATGAAGGTAAGTGTTCCTAGATCTGCATGTGTTTATTATCAAAATGAAACAGCTATTACAACGGGTTAAGATAAGGTCCCAAGTGTATTTGATTAAACAGTTGAAGCAAAAACAAGAACTAAATCATACTAATATAAAGAATACATATATATCAAAGCATTTCCAAAAAAAGTTCATGTTTTAATGAACTCAATTGTTTAAAATTAAGATATGTGTGCCTGTTATAAGAATAAATTATCATGCAAATCAAGAGGATTTGATGGTAAATGAGTATTTACTTTAGGACCAACTGTTGCTGATCCAAATGATCTACATGCAATGATATCAAATCCTATGAAACTGATAATAATCCTGGAGTTGGTTCAGGTACTACTTGAAATCCATTCCAAATTTTAATGGTGCATCAAGCTATTATGTATGTGCAGTTGATCATCCATCCACTTTTGCAGCAGAGTAATACTATAAGCCAACAACACTGAACTCATTGACTTGGAATGAATCAAAAAATAAATGTGTTACATACAAAGCTTTCACTAGCGCTATCAATAACACTACGAATCAAAATACCAATACAGATAATAATAGATCTTGGGTATTACAATTTAATTTTCAAAATAATTTATAATTATAAATTCTCATTCAATCATGTTGTTTTTAATTTTTCATACTCCAAAAAAAATCTCATAAGATTTAGGGTATATAGATTAAAAAGTTTGATTACATTTACTTGCTTTCTTAATTAAAAGTTTCATGTTTTTTTTTAAACTACTTCATGTTTA